GAAGTTCCATCTTAACATGAGAAGGAACTTCTTTACTTTGAGGGTAGTGGAGCAGTGGCACAGGCTGCCCAGAGAGGGGGTGGGGTCTCCCACTCTGGAGACATTCAAAACCCGCCTGGACGCTGTCCTGTGCAACGTGCTGTAGGTGCCCCTGCTCTGGCAGGGGGTTGGACTAGATGATCTCCAGAGGTCCCTTCCAACTCTGACCATTCTGGGATTCTGTGATTCTGTAAATGTGAAAGCTTCTGTTCTTGAAAGGAGTTTTTTAGAATACTTCTGAAGTCATCACCTCTTTCTCTTGTTTTTATGGGAATCTGCTTGATTGTGCATTCCTTAAAAATCCAAAATGCTTATTTAACCAGTGAAATCAGCTCACCGAGTTTTCTTCTATCCATGTTTCTTCACTGTTGAGACATGTTCAGACATGGCTGTTGACAGTGTTTCTGGAAGCATTAATTCCTCTGGATACAGAAGCCATTGTCTTCTGCAAGCAAATTCTAACTAGGATCTTTTGAGAGGCTCTTTGATGTTACCGTTATGTCCCTGAAATGATGCCAGCACATGAACTTGAGTGTAATCATCTGTCTAAATTTGAAAAATTTTGCTATATTATATTTCCTATTCTTTTCCATCCCTTTTTCTTTTATGAGGCCTTAAATGATTCATGCTCTTAGAGCTGCGTGAATTCTTCCTGCAGCAAACTCCTCTCAGACTTGGTAAAGCATATCACTGAACTTATAAATCGTAACTATTGGTATAAAGCGGAATTTGGCTATTGCTTCTATTTTTTCCTCTCTAAGGCATCACAGCAAAGATAAACTAAGGTGATGGCAAGGTGCCACCTAACACGCCTGTTAGCTTCAGCTGCCATCTGTGTTCCTGATAATTTCTTTGCGCTACCTGTTGTAGTTCCTGACCCTACAATACACGGATTCAGGGATTTAAACCTTTTTCTGCAAGGTTCGTTGTGTGCTGGGTCAGCCGTTGGAACTGGCTCACCGTGGGTCAGACGAGCACGACTGCCTCAGTCGAGAGAAGCAGTGGGAGTGGGGGTGAAGAAGCAAGACCTTCCCTTTCGGTGGCAGCTAGTCAGTAGATCTGTTTAGCAGTATTGTGAAACATTTCCTGAAGTTTCTGTGACCAAAACCACGAAAAGCTAATAGTTCACATTCCGGATAACACATTTCTCTCCTTCTGTAAAGAACTAGATCACTTCTCTTTTTTTTTTTTTTTTTTTCCTCCCCCAATATGAAATTTCAAGACTAAAAGAAAGTTTTTGCATGTGCAGTTAGAAAAATTCTCCCAAACCAAGTAGAATCAGTCTGGCTTTATAAAAGGGTTTGTGTAAGCTGGTATTGCTCTTAATGCGTCTCCTTATTCGGAAAAACATGATTGTGAATTTCTTAAGTATCCTGTGCTAGTAGTAGGAGGGTAAATTCTGTACAGGCATGGCCATGAATGACTTTGAGAGCAACGATGGAAAAAGATCAAAATCTTGTTTGCAACCAGTTCTTGTTTTTCTTAGGAAAGACTCAATCCTGGTGTAACAGTTCTAAGATTCTAACTATTAACATTTGCCTAAGATATTAGAAATCAGAGGCAGTGGATCTGCATTGATCCATTTGTATGCTTTTGCATTTTTATGCTTTTCAGTCCTTCATAAAAGGAGGTAACTTAAACTGTATTTATGAGCAGAAGTTTGTTGATGTTCTTTGTTTGTAATGTTTTAGAAGAAAATGATGCTATGATTATTTTTTCCCCCCCTCTAATGACAAATGGCAATTTTCAGTGTACCTGTCCTTGAGAAATCACCTCTTTTGTGATTACTATTTTAATTCAATCTCCATTAAGGTGGCAAGTTCCTGGAGAAATTACTGTTTTAGCTGTAAAACGCTAGTCTTCTCCCAAAGTATAAAAGTTATTTAAGACAATAAAACATTATATGGCAGTCATAATTTGGGGGTGGGGAGAATGACATGGACCAAGAACACCACAACAAACAAACAGATCACAAAAAAATGTCTCTGAATTAAAACAATGTAAGAAATTTCCAAAATGAGAAAGTAAAAATGCAAGCACATCTCAAGATACTTCCTAATGGGCTACAGTTCTATTTTAAGTTACGGAAAAAATTATTTCAGTTTCTTTGTGAAGTTTGTACAGAAATAAGAAAGTGCTACTGGCTGTATGGAGCAGGCTATAAATGGGGTGGTATTATTCAATATGACTTTACAAAACTAGTTCTTATAAATGTTTCAAGAGGTTTGAACAGCGAAAATGGCATGATTCTTTGAAGGCACGGGCTTTTTATGAAACGTAATATAAAAAAGATTCAGACTAATAAGCTTATTAATGCAGTAAGCTTTCAGTAGTTGAATAGGATTTGACACTGCTGAGTACCGAAGTACAGTCAAGAAGGTGCATATCCAAATGACTTAAAACCTCCCGTTTTCTTAAGACTTATCTCTACTTAATTAACTTACATAAGCACGTGAGTTAAAGGTAGTGTTCATGTTTTGATGTCTCTGCTTTTTGTAGCTGTTGGATGAACTGCCAATGATATACAGTTGTTGTGTGTTTGTCTACTGCCTGTAAGTATTTTTAAATGTTTTTTTTCCTGAATATTTATGAAATATTAACATTTGAAATGTAGAATCTGTGAAGCCCGATCCAGTGTGTAGTGAGGCTGACACTGAAGCTTCTACCAATTTCAGTGAGATTTCAGTTTTGTTAGCAGGACATCTTTATAATTGGCCATCAGAGCACCAGGCTGGCTTTAGTCTAGTTTGTGCTAATTTAGACGTGTTTCACCAGTGTTTGTTTAGCAGGAAAAAAAAATAACTCTTGTTAAAGGCTTTGTGTAGTATACAACCAGATCTCAGTGTTACTTGGTACGTAAACAGCAGACATGATAAAATCAACTTCAGTAATGCCTACAAAATTGTCAGCGTTGTCATTTATTTGAGCTGTATTTCTATGATGCAAATGCAAATTTCAGATTTCTGGTTAAACCTGCTTTCCACTCATCTGGAAAATCAAAGAAACAAGATTTTGTGAAAAGTTGCATGCGTATTTTGTGGAGAATGTCTTGGAACATGCATAGCACCTTAATACCATGCCAGGATGTTTTAATTTTGGGAGAAATGTAGATTTGGCGACTGTAAAGATACCATAAGTTGGCGCTTTTTTGCCTGTTGCTGCAAGACCTGGGTTGAAGATGATTTGTTCTGTCACTTGGTAAATCCACTTGTTGCAGACAAAAAGACAAAAAAAAATGTCTTTTTTGCTTTTGAACATATAAAATATTCAGGTGTTGAAAACTGGAATATCTCTGGTGAAGATTACTGGTAGCTTGCAATGGAGATGGGATGCTACAGGACCAAACCCACGGCTGTGGAAATTACCATCGGTTTCTGATTCATACATTAGTATGATTTGTGCAGACTCAGGACCAGAATCATAATGCCTCTGTTAGTGGAAATATTTCCATTGTAGCTCCCTATCTCCTTGAAATTGCCTTTGCATTTATTTTGTCTGATTTGAATGTGATTGGGGACAAGGATGAGAAGTGGCTATAAAAATCTGTTGGAAAAAATAATCGTGCTTGTTTTGTGCAATGGTTACTCTATTATCTTCATAAGCACCGAAGTCTGTTCCTGCATTTATAACTCTAATAAGATTCTGTGTGTGTATGTTTGGTGGTAATTAAAATGTTGTGAAGAACGAGCTAATGTGTAGTTTAGGAGGCCTTTAATAATCGTTTTGGTTTTCTTGAAGGTAGGTGGTGGGGCGGTTCTGCACAGGAGGTTCCCTTATACATCGTTCGGTCCTCCTGACTCTAAGGCTGCGTAACTACTGTGGAAAGCCATTTTGCAATGTAGCACATCGTGATGTCTTGTAGATTTTTTTTTTTCTTCCCCGCACCCAGATATTCCTACATGTTTTTTCTTTGTTTCCTTCTATTCATCCATGGTGGTGTCTTTTTCCAACAGTTTACAGAAACAAAAAAAAAACCACCCAGGCAGCTGTAACTTTGGAGTTATATTGACAGCTTCCTCTAGCCCTAATGATTTTGTGCTTCTCAAAGTTCATTTTTGTTGGGTTTTTGGAACCTTTTTTCTGATGGAGATATGGTCTGGGATGTATGTGTTTTAATTCCATCCCAGCTGTGACTGACGTGTAGTGTAGAGACTGTGAAGCTAATTTTAATTAGTTGTTTTACATACTGGGAGCAATTAGCTGTTTTTACCTTCCATTTCTACCAGTACCCAATCTAGCAAATTTACTGCACTGTGACAGTAGTAAAGCCATAAACAATCTGCATTTTAACAGATCTCTAGAGTTCACTGTTTTGTAAGGCAATCCCTTTCCCACGCTGCCTTTAGCTCACAGATGTAATGTTTTCTGGCAGCTGTATTGCATTTTAAACTCATTTCTAATTTGCCATCCATTATCACCCCTTAAGCACCTTCTGAAAACGCTTCTGCTTCCCAAACTCCTTACACTGACTAGGTTATTTTTTTGTACATGCATGAGCTTACTGAGTTTTTTTTCCATTAGATTTTTTTTAAAAAATGTTTATTGGTCGAAGTGTGAATTTTTATATTGAAATGATACATCTTTATTGGAGGAGCTACAGTTTTTTGGAGGGCCTAAGACTCATTTGGATCAATTTTCTCGCAAATTTTGTGATAATATACCTTGAAAAATGCATCCTTTATATGGTAAGTGATGAATGTTACTGTTCTCCTTTATGTTCTGTTCCAGGTATGAATGTTTCAAGTACAAGAACACAGTCAATTATCCACTGCTTTTCTTGTTAATAACATACAGCTTCGTAGTCAGCATAGTAAGTAACTTTTTCTAATACAGCATTTTCACCTGTAGATTGACAGATTTCCTGCCAGTGAAGGAACGTTATACAGACAGGACTGAATCTCTCTCACTTCCAGTCAAGAAGGACAAATCATTCTTTTTTTATTGGGAAAATGATGAGCTGGCCAGAAAAACCTGAAACCTTTCTATCTAAACCACTGCATAGAATAAATGAAGAAGAAAAGTAGTAATCCGGTTGCTAGAATAGGAATGTGAGAAAAACAGTCACCGTTGAATTGTTACGAGGCCTCAGACAAGCTGCTTTCCCTCACTTTAATTCATCTGCGGAGATGAGAATAATCCTGTTCAACAGACTGCAAAAAGTGACCTGTGATACGCAGTCCAGGATATTGACTGGTGTTTTAAAACAACAGCCAAAATAAAAAGGGAACTTAGCTGTTAAAAAAATGAGAAGAATTTTAACTGTGTCATGGTTAACTTGATTCACTTCCTTAATGCAGTGTGCTCCCTCTATGAATAAAATGAGTTTTGTGCTGGCTGTCAACCACAGATGGAATCTCTTACATTATTTTTATTGATTGCCATTTCTTAAAAAAAAAAAAAAAAAAGTATTATAGGTCATTTTTTGCCTTCAAAATATTTGTCTGTTCTCTTCTGTGCCTCCTAAATTTTTTTTACGTTTGTGGCAAGTTATGCCTAAGGTCTAGTGCCCTTCTCTCTTCAAAGGCAGAAATTAAATGAACTGCTTTAACAATAGGAGGACCTACTAGCTTTTTGTAAAATGAATTAAAATGTTAACGCACTGTCAAAAACACTAATAATAGCAAATCAAAGTAGAGTACATTTTCTTCTTGCAGTGCATATCGAGTATGTGTCTGGTAATTTCTGCTTCTTAATTGTTTTTGTATGTGTTGTAACTCTATTAAATGAGGAGGTTTTAGATGTTAATGTTTCTATTTGTGCTTCTTAATTTAAAGTAATTCCACAGTTAAAAGCCCAGGTTTTGCCAGAGGAAACTTCAAATGTTTAATCAACTTTAATGGTGCATGCATAGGCACTCGTGTCTTGATTCTAACAGAACAAGTCTTGGTAGTATTTAGATGAATAATGTTATGATCGTTCTGTGTTGCCAATTATTTCTCTCTTTTTTTTTTTTTTAAACTTTCCAGGTTCTTAAATTTGAAAGAGCCTGTATTCCATCAGGTAAATCTTGCTCTGTTGGAGAAGCTAATTTTGTTTTTAAACTATGCTGTTTTAGTGGAATGTTTTACAGGATTTTATAGCTGGAAGGAAGACGGAAGGCAAGCGCAATTTGCTGTTTGCTCTTTATTTAAGCAGTATTGCTGCCTGTCATGTTGCCATCCTCTTACTCGGTGACCTGAAGAACTAGAATGGTTTAATGCGTGTTGTGTTTTAGCATTTGACCTAATATTTCACGTGGTTTTTCATCAGTGGCAAGTGTAAAGAGGTGACTTTTGCTATGGGCTAAGGTGTGTGTGAGAGGGAGGGCTTAATGAGTTCTCGTCCTCTTCTTTCCATTAGCAGCTGCCTTGAAACTATGACCTGACATCATAACGTGTCTTGGGTGACTTAGCACCGTGTTCTTCTCTCAACTTGAAGATTTGTTGTTTTCTTTTTTTTTTTTTTAACTACTCAATTTTAATTTTCAAGCTGAATTTAAACACAGAATATCTTCTAGGACTATGTAGCAGACTGGTTGTCATGGTCTCACAGGCTTAATGGCATATTTGGTACAGGTTCCTTTTGTAGGAGCCCAAGAGTATTAATATGCAGCCGCTGCCTGGGGGGATAGGACTTGTATCGCTTACCTCTTCACGGGAGGTTAGAAATCATGCTCGTTTATGTATGCCATGAGTAGTTTTCCCTCATTTATGATTTTTTGATTAAGGATAACAGCTGAAAAATTGCCAAGCCAAACCACTGAGCTCTTTGCAGGACAGAGTTTTAAAGCCTGAATTTCTGAAATTAGTAGTGCCATGGCTTGTCAAAATGCGCCTGCTGCATCAGCAGTTGTAAAAATGATACGTGATTCCTGTTGGCGGATTAGTGAAGCACTGATGAATAAAATAAATTCCCAGCTGCTCCAAATAATCTCTCCTAGAAACATGAATTGTTACTCTACCTATAGATAAAAAGAGAACCTTGCAGGGTTTTTTGATAATGTTAATTAAATCCTTTCTTTTTTTCCCCTACTTTTTTTTTTAAGATACTGGCTGGGGTGAAAGCAGCAATTTCTGATGCTTTTACCGAGCTGGTTATAACTGGTTTTGAATGAAGTGACTTAAAGTAACTGTGTTAACAACAGTTGCAGAATTTACTACTGATCTTGGACTTTTTCTTTAATATCTACTTTATCTACTTTAATATCTACTCAGCCTACATTTATTGCAATAAATACATCACAGCTTCACTATATTCTAGTTTGATGCATTGGCATAGGTATTGTCCCATGTCATAAATACTAAGACAATAGATAGTATGACTTGTCGGCAAAGAGGGAAATAGGGAAACTTTAAACTGTTGCCCCAGACCTTTAATTTTTTGCATCTGGTTTCTCTTAGGTTCTGAATACGAATCCCCTGTTATAATTTATACATGGGGAATCAATGTAGAAAAGATTTAGGTCTATAAAAGTGCTGGACTTTATACAACAACTCTTTCCAAATTGATTTTTATGGAGAACATACAGTTATGGCCAAATTCCAAACGTTGAAGTACTGCACTCATTTTTTCATAATCTTTGCCAAATATTTTGTAAATCCAGAGGAAACATTTATTTGACTGCACAGCCAAGCAAGGTTATTTTCTTAATACTTGTCCTTTATTTTAGAGTGCACCAAAAAAACCCCAAACCTCAATATAATTTCAGTAAGTGTTTTCCAACTGAATGGGTCACATAGACTTGAAGTAAAATTAAATACGCTCGTGCAATCATAGTCTAAATCACAGTCTCTATCCCTGCCTGTATTGGAAAGCAGCGTCAGGACATAAAGCAGCATTTGATTCCTCTAGGTATTTGTCTGTGATCATCATCATTTGTCAGCCTTGCAAAAAGGGGAATAACTACCTGGACAGCTTTATATTGTTCATTGTTTCAGAGTGTTTTTTTTCCCTGAAAGGAGAGCAATAAAAATGGAAAAGGATCCTATTATATTTAGTAGCCAGGATCCAAGCCTCATTTTTCAGTGAATTACTTTCTACTTTCCTTCCCAACTTAGACTTATAAATTGCGTACTGCCGGCAGGGCACGGAGGGGATTTCGGTTTGTTATTCATGGCACAGTGGTGACAGAGACCAACTTATTTTTCTCCATCCACATATTGCAGATCCTTGAGGGTCTTGGTGCTTTAACCATAGGAGGGATGAGATGCAGGTTTGGGTCAGTTGCCGGCTGCACATCATTAGAAGGAAAAAGCACTTCACTGCCTGACAACTGATCTGGTATTTTTTTGCCGCCTCATCAATTAAATGAAAGATAGCAGTGGCCTTTACAAGCACGTATTGTCTTGTTTATGTCAAAATCTCTCAGGCTAGAGCATTGTTATTACCTAATTTCCATGGTGCTAAACAGCCCTACGTCCCAGTTTCCTAGTTGTTTTTAAGCCAGCATCATTGTCGAAGAAAACAGCTATGCCTCTCCCCCTTTCCCATCTGGCACAGAGATTTACTCTCTGATGTGAATTTGATTGGGGAACTCAACAGGATAAAACTCTCCACAGAATTAGTTTTAGATCAGATTAGTTGCTTACCCCTGTTTACTGCGTGTATATTTGTGCTTATACAAGGAAAGGAGAGGGGGAAGAAGACTGGCTGCCGGTGTGGAGCGATCCACAGATGCACAAATATAAGACAACGCTGGAAGCACAAGAAATTACCCTGGCAGTTAAACTTTAAGACTCATATCTTATAAGTAGCCTTCTTTCTAATATGATATGGCCAGGAAAACTGTCACCTACCAAGCTTTGTTTTCCTTCCTGATTTGTTTACTTGCTATGTACCATATGCTTGTTATAGACTTGTAACGATCTAAAACCTCATTCAGCAAGTGGGCCAAATTATGTGAATAATGAAATAGATCTAAAAACCTGTTTTATTTGCATAGTCATCGCAGCAAGAGTTTGAAACAAATTTTGAGCAAACAAATGATTAAAAGGTAAACAGAAAATTAGATTAAATAGCTGTTTCTTCTACATTAGGAAATGTGATTTAAAAACTGTCTTTTGTGTAGACATTTCAGAAGCATTGTTATGGTGTCCCATGAGAAACTAAGCAAGTTGGAGAAGTAGATCATGAAGAGAATTGCAAATAGAGTAAGGGAGTGACTAGTGGAAAATGACTAAAGGAGGTGATGAAAGGCAGTCACAGTCTGGACTTTCTCGGGATTAGTAGTTTTTGTTTAACGACCTGTAGCAGGAAAGAGAGTCATGTACTGATGATATTTGTGATGATACAAAGTTCAGAGGCATCACTGAATACAGAGGAGGAGAGGAAGACATAACTGGGAGACCTTGAGTAGGATGACAAGTGATTCAAAATGGAAGAGCATGCACTGATGGGCAAATACCAACTATTCTTGTCCTAAACTGCACATAGATCACCAAAGGAGGGAGGCAGGGAGAGAGTGACCGGATGTGTTCACTGATGACAGCATAATAATATGACCAGTGAATTTTCTCAACAGTGATAGGAGTAAAATACAAGTATTTGATTTACCAATTAAAGTGACTTTTAGTAAGAGCGAGAGAGTGAGCATGGGAGAAAAAAGTATTTCGTTTGCTTCAATGAAAAAAATTAATAAAATTATTCTCCACAGGTGTTTTAAATATACAAATGCAAAGAAGGAAGTGAAGTCATGGTGGAATGTCTATGCAGAAGTATGTATAGGAGCCTGAAACTGCATGAAGAATGTTATGTCAGGGCACAATCTGTTCAAAGTTGCAGGACTCCCTAATTTGGGGAATCTGTGTGGACCCACTCAATGTCCTACAGCTCTCCAGAGTCCCTCCTGCTGCTAAGGCGACACGTAGTTGTAGGCTTGTGGCTTAATATATTGAGCCTTTTAGTGGCACGTGTTCTTACTTTCTACGTGTTCAGGTTGCCAAGGGTCTGTTAAAAATTACCTTTTCAGGGCATGTCTTC